TAAACTACTGAAAAAAAATTGTCATGGCGGTAGTGGTAGACTTGTTGCATACACCCATACACTTGAATATTAGAACAAGATGCACCGAAACACATCATATAGAATGCCACTTTATTCTCATTGATGCAGTCATGTCACACGCAACGTAATATTACCGTAATTGGTATAGTACAGGTGTGATGGTTCAAATACCAAAATGGCAACAGTAACATAAAGACTTCCCTGGCGGCGATGATAACATACAAACACGGAGTCAACAGATGAGGTTTCAACTGGTACTGGTATTATTATACTCTGCAAACATCAAATACAATAACTCGGTAAAACTCCAAACCTCCAATAACTAGATACTTAAACTCCAATACAATTCAACGAGATCTCCGATCTGATCTCAGTGCTGAACAACTCCCCTATATATACCCACACTGTCTATAAATAGACCATTACATCAGCATACATGATAAGTCTAGAACTTACTACAAATTTCTAGAATGTTCCATTACCTATTCAACCAGTTTCTAAAAATTCCACCCAGACACAGTACGGTTCTAGAACATTCTCAGTCACACGAAGTGGTAAACAAGTCGTATGCGACAAGTCACCTGTCCCTGTATTCGCAATTAATACAATTCCAATACTGTAATGACAAGCACGGTAAACCTTCATGTAGAGATGCACAGTGCATTTATAGTGCTTCTAATAACTTACCAGGAACTTTACATTCATCAAAAATTAATTCTCCTGTTGGTGAGCCTCGCATTCCCAGTTTGTCAAGTTTTAGACCAGTACTGAATCCCGGAAATCCCTGCAAGAAACAAGAAATGGAATTCATTTTTCTTGCTGTGTGTAACAATTTGTCAAAGAAAACATGAAATGAAATTACATAAAATATACTGAAGGAATATATCATAATATTGTTGAGAAAGTTACAACTTATTTACCGTTACAGTTGCTCAGAAAACACATTATTACATAATTTTCTATTGTTTCGCACTCTCAGGTGGTCCAACTGAGTCTCATTAACACCTTCTCATATGGTATTGATTAGAAAGTTGTACATAATAATGCTACACACAGATAACATTTGTGGACAGAAGAAAAGGGATTTTTGACAGACATTTTTTTTCACATAAATATCTATAGAACAACCTTAACCATGCAAAAAAATAAAAATAATTCATTTCAATTAATTAAAAGGAACGCACTTAAATTAAATAATTCACACCTAAAAGGTTCTATCTAGCCAGATATAATTTTTGTATGAGGATGAGCATGGTATATTTCTAGTCCAATGATACTAAGTGTGTGCGTGATGTGCAGGTGTTTATGACTGAAAATTTCTAGTTGCCGACCGAGTCACAATAATTAATAATGTTGATAAATCACTGACTGCAATCATGTAGTATCTGGCGCCCAGACGATGACTAAGAACGACCAGCCAATTATATTTGCTCATATTCATTACGAGATAAACAATTTGTTTATGGAAAAACATGGGGAAACAGGTTTTTGATACAGAAAGATAAACAATTCTATAAAAGATATAGCCCAGTGATTGGTAAATACTTTGGACACATTTTCTAGATACACATGTATATTTGTGTTCTCAATATCAGGTCTAATTCTGGCTAGAGAGAAGACTCCTATCCTAGTATTTGAAATCAAGTTTTGTGGAATAACCAATTTGTGAACAACCACTAGCTCAATCTTGAGATTGAACACAAGTCACCAAACACAAAGCACAAATATGTTAGTGGTGGACGAACTATTCAGTCATGATGTTTGCAGGTGCAAGCGGACCAACTTCAAAATCAGATCATACATGTAGAACATATTGCAAGATATTCATCAAGCTTAACTCTAGCAACAATCCAAGTAGTTCCCACCTTTTCAACAATGAAAGCAGAAATACCATGTTGTGGTTGAGAAGACATATCAGTCTTGGCATAGATAATAAGCGTATCTGCATCCATTCCATTCGTAATCCAAAACTTGGTACCATTTAGTACGTAGTAGTCTCCTGTAACAAAGCAATACAACATATTGGCAATGTATAACTGAGAATTAAAACTGTGTGTCCCCTGTATGTCACAGGGAGTAAGCTACATTTACAGATTTAACTATAAACTGTGTACACTGTGATCACTATGCTATGAAAAAAGTAAATTACAAATGAAATAGTTTATGAAAGTCCTTAATTGGGATAAATAACCCAAAGTGTTGAAGTTTTACTTATCACCTAATCATTGGTAATCAGCCTAATCAATGAAGGTGAAAATTGTTATCACATTTCAGAAGTGTCATAATTATTGATTTTGACGCATGTTATCAACTTATTGGATTTTATTCCTGTTACAAAACTGCCTAAAATGATGCAAAAATAAACATAACTTCATAAAAAAATGAATTGTAATCATAAGAATTGTTTAATAATTCTTGACAGCTATAAGTACCCATCTTTGAATACAAATGATTTTCTCGCCATATGTAACAAACTAAACCAAACGCCTGCTAAAAAATTGGATTTTGAATTTAAATTTCTCTTATTAGTGAGAAGTGAGAAATATTGCATAGAGATACCCTTACTTCATCAAAATTGACCATCATCAAATATGTATAGTACATTATTAGGTGCGGAAATATCCCCCAAAATACTTAAATTAGCATTTGTTGAATTTCATGCAATGTTTTGACATTACTACAACGTCTATGAGACCATTATTTGTCATGTTTTTTATTTTTTTTATTTCACGCATAAACGCAGGATCTTGTAGTGAACATAAAATAGTCTATTGAATGCTTTACAGTATGTTGAACCTACCCCTTTTCTCAGCTTTTAGACTCATGTTGACAACATCAGAGCCTGCATCATGTTCACTCATCGCCAGTGCCCCTATATGTTCACCAGAAATCAACTGAAATAAAAACACATTTGTTATGTTGCATGGACACAGCAACGGTTATTATTATACATCTGTCATCATAACGCCATTAGTTACAGCGTGCCAATGTTGCGGTATTTTCATCCTACCGTATAAAGAAAAACAAATTCTAAATATGGAATGATAACACGCGTAAGCGTCCTCTAATAATAAAAATGGCTGCCACCAGAGTTTGACTAAACTTCACAGAAAGAAGTTCGCTGATTCTGTTCTAAACATTTTGAATTTTGGCATTCCCATGGTGTATCCTTGGAAAGAAAATATGTATAATAATAAGGTTATTACGTGAATACCTCAAAGTATGCACTCAGACAGTACGCCATGCATCGACCTCTGCTGCTCGTCGATCGATACTCCCGGAGTACTGTCTTCGTGCATACTTTGAGGTGTTCTCGTAATAAGCTTATATTACGATTATCTTGAATGATGACAATTATGGTATAATAAAGAAAACCTCAGTGTGCAACGATTGTGCAATTTGTTAGTAGTTCATTGGGCTACTAATGAAAATTGAAAATGGTATTAGGTAGATATAAGTGTGGCCCTAGATTTCTAATAAATTCAAGCCATGATTATTAATACAAAATTACCTTTGGTAAATATTTTTCTTTCTGTGCTTCAGTACCATTTCTACATATCTGATTAATACATAAATTTGAATGTGCTCCGTAACTCAATGCCACTCCCCCTGCTGCCCTTGACATCTCCTCCATGACAATAACATGGTCCAAGTAGCCGCCACCAGTACCTCCATATTCAACTGTAATAGAATAAGTACA